CTCTTCCTCCTCCTCCTCCTCCTCCTTCTCCTCCTCCTCCTCCTCCTTCTCCTCCTCCTCCTCCTTTTTCTCCTCCTCCTCTTCTTCTTCCACCTCCTCCTCCTCCTCCTCCTCCTCCTCCTCCTCCTCTAAGTCCTCCTCCCTCCTCCCTCCTCCTCTTCCTCCTCTCTCTTGCGTTGCGTTAAAGAATAAAACCCGCAGAGTTGCAGCTCCTACTCTCAGTTCCCCGGAGCGAGTGAAGTTCTACTCTCCCAGATGAGGTCGAAGTGTCGTAAGGTGAGGGAGGGAGAGGGAGGGGAGGGGAGGGGAGGGGGAGAGGAAGGGGGATAGGGGGAGAGGAAGGGGGGTAGGGGGAGGGGAGGGAGAGGAAAGGGGGATAGGGGGAGGGGTAAGGGAAGGGGGAGTGAGAGGAAGGGGAAGGGGGAGGGAGGGGGGGAGGGAGGGAGGGAGGAGGGAGAGGGAGGGGAGGGGAGGGAGAGGAAAGGGGAAGGAGGGGGGGGAGGGGGAGGGGAGAAGGGGAGGACGGGAGGAAGGGAGGGAAGAAGAGAGAGAGAAAGAGGGAGAGGATGAAGGAGGGGAGGGAGAGGAAGAAGGAAGGGGGGAGGGGAAGTGGAGAAGGGGAGGGAGGGAGAGGGTAAGGGGGGAGTGAGAGGTGGAGGGGGAAGGAGGGAGGGAGAGAGGGAGGGGGAGGAGCGAGTGAGAGAGAGAGAGAGAGGACGATGGAGAAACAAAAGGATTTCAAACGGTATTGGAAATGTCAGACGGAAATGAAAGAAGGAAGGAAGGAAGAAATAATTGGTAAAAGGGAAAGCGGGTTGTGTCGGTGTGAATAGGAGTGTGTGTGTTTGCGATTTATGTGCGTATGTGTGTGTGTGTTTGTTTGTGTTTTTTTTGTGTGTGTGTGTATGTGTGTGTATAGGTGGTGGGAGGGAGGAGGAAAAGAAAGGGGATGAGGAGGAAGAGAGGAGAAGAAGGAATAAAGAAGGAGAAAAGAAGAAGAAGAGAAGGAGTAGAGTAGAGACAGAGGAGGAAGGAAGATAGGATTTAAAAACGGGAAAAAGAGAGAAAAAAAGGGAGAAGAGAGGGAGAGGGAAGGAGAAAAAAAGATAATTTGGTAAGAAAGATGAAAAGAAAAGAGGGAAGGACCATCCAGTGGAAAAAAAAGGAGGAAGGGAGAGGAAGGGAGAAGGTGAAACAAAGTAGAGAAAAGTCGGAAAAAAGCAAGTAAAGGGAACAAAAGAGAGAAAAAAGGCATAGAGGAAACGAGGAGGAGAAAGAGTAAAGACAAGAAAAAAAAATGTAGAAAGTCGATAGGAAAAAAAAGCACCTCTTCCTCTGCGACGAAATGAGGAATAGATAAAACAAGGAAAACCATAGATAAAGAAAGGGGAAATGGTGCAAAATGCGTGACAGGGAAGAGAGGGGAAGAGGAGAAGGCCCGGAGAGATCAAACGCGAACGACGGAAGCAGAGAATAACGACAGAGAGCAATGGAAACGTCGTGAATATGTAAACGCGAGGAGAGGCAACGTGGGAATAAACGACGGAGCTGGAGAGACATTGTAAGAAGGAGGGGACGTGCATGAGGGGAAATGAGGCAAATAAATCATCTATTGCTGGTGGTAAGGAGGTCGTAAGAAAATTGTTATGGGGAAGCTAGGATCCTCTGTCAGCTGGGCGAGTAGACGAAATGCAAAATAGGTTTTTTAAAATAAAACATTTAATTTTTCATGTCTCTCTGTTTTCTTAAGAGGAAACTAGGATTCACAGTAAGATGGACGGAGTAAAAGAAAAAATAATATCGTTCTTAAATACACTGAATTCCTCACATCTCTGTCTGTCTGTCTGTCTGTCTGTCTGTCTCTCTCTTTCTCTCTCTCTCTCTCTCTCTCTCTCTCTCTCTCTCTCTCTCTCTCTCTCTCTCTCTCTCTCTCTCTCTCTCTCTCTCCTCTCCTCTCTCTCTCTCTGTATTAATGAATAAGCACACACACACACACACACACACACACACACACACACATATAGATATATATATATATATATATATATATATATATATATTATATATATATATATATACATATATATACATATACATATATATATATATATATATATATATATATATATATATATATATATATATATATATATATATATATATATATATATATATATATATATATATATATATATATATATATATATATATATATATATATATATATATATATATATATATATATATATATATATATATACATATATATACATATATATATATATATATATATATATATATATATATATATATATATATATACATATATATATATATATATATATATATATATATATATATATATATATATATATATATATGTATATATATATATATATATATATATTGTAAGAATATATTTGTCCCCTCCCCACCCTCCCCTACCCCTACACCTTCACGCAAAACGAAACAAATAAAACAACAACAATCACAACAGATT